TTTCACAATATATTAAAAAGGTATTTTCATGAACATAACCTTACAATATTTTTACATTTTATCACATGAGAAGAGCGTAATCATAAAATGGAATAATTAAATTTAAAAATATTTGAAAAATAATGGAAAACGTGCTTTGACATATTTTTAATTAAATACGATTTTTAAAAATAATTTAACTTAAGATTACATTATTCTCATTAACAGATTATTTTACTATATTATTCTAATGTAATATTCAGAATTAAATTCAGATTAGAGTATTTAGATTATAGTGTTTAAAATGTTTGTAGAGTCTTAAATGTTTTTTTTTCTTCTAATAAGAAATCTGCATGTCAGGGAAAAAGTTATTATTTACATGGAAAAATGGAGAATTCAGGAAATTGGATTACAAAAATATTATGGCAACGCATGAAGAAATTAACTTTTTAAAGAATTATCACATATCTTCTATTATATTAAGTTAAAAAATTACGAAAAACGACACCGACCCCGTGACCTCGACACCGTCCTTCAAAAATCTATTTTCAATTATTTTCAAATAAATTAAAATACTTTGCATATATGCTGTTAGAAAATCTTACAAACTATTTTTATGTAACATCTTTTTTCAATTTTCACCCGAAAAAGGGTTATTTTGCAATTTTAAGCCGAAAAAGGGTCATTTTGCAATTTTTTAAAATTTTTTTGATTTTTTCAATTTTTTATTATTATTTTTTATTATTTATTGTTGTTTTTTCAATTTTTAGTTAGTAACCTATAATATTGTGTCTAATTTTAAGTGTCATTAAAATCAAATGTTTTTAACTTAATAATTTTAACATTTCTTAATTTAAAACGAAACATCTTCTATTATATTAAGTTAACAAATTTCGAAAAACGACACCGACCCCGTGACCTCGACACCGTCCTTCAAAAATCTATTTTCAATTATTTTCAAATAAATCAAAATACTTTGCATATATGCTGTTAGAAAATCTTACAAACTATTTTTATGTAACATCTTTTTTCAATTATCACCCGAAAAAGGGTTATTTTGCAATTTTTTAAGAATTTTTTGATTTTTTCAATTTTTTATTATTATTTTTTATTATTTATTGTTGTTTTTTCAATTTTTAGTTAGTAACCTATAATATTGTGTCTAATTTTAAGTGTCATTAAAATCAAATGTTTTTAACTTAATAATTTTAACATTTCTTAATTTAAAACGAAACATCTTCTATTATATTAAGCTAACAACTTTTGAAAAACCACACCGACCCCGTGACCTCGACACCGTCCTTTAAAAATCTATTTCAATTATTTTCAAATAAATCAAAATACTTTGCATATATGCTGTTAGAAAATCTTACAAACTATTTTTAGTTTTAAGAATTTTTAAATTTTTTCAATTTTTTATTATTATTTTTTATTATTTATTGTTGTTTTTTCAATTTTTAGTTAGTAATTTATAATATTGTGTCTAATTTTAAGTGTCATTAAAATCAAATGTTTTTAACTTAATAATTTTAACATTTCTTAATTTCAAACGAAACATCTTCTATTATATTAAGTTAACAAATTTCGAAAAACGACACCGACCCCGTGACCTCGACACCGTCCTTTAAAAATCTATTTCAATTATTTTCAAATAAATCAAAATACTTTGCATATATGCTGTTAGAAAATCTTACAAACTATTTTTAGTTTTAAGAATTTTTAAATTTTTTCAATTTTTTATTATTATTTTTTATTATTTATTGTTGTTTTTTCAATTTTTAGTTAGTAATTTATAATATTGTGTCTAATTTTAAGTGTCATTAAAATCAAATGTTTTTAACTTAATAATTTTAACATTTCTTAATTTAAAACGAAACATCTTCTATTATATTAAGTTAACAAATTTCGAAAAACGACACCGACCCCGTGACCTCGACACCGTCCTTGAAAAATCTATTTTCAATTATTTTCAAATAAATCAAAATACTTTGCATATATGCTGTTAGAAAATCTTACAAACTATTTTTATGTAACATCTTTTTTCAATTTTAACCCGAAAAAGGGTTATTTTTCAATTTTAACCCGAAAAAGGGTTATTTTGCAATTTTTTAAGAATTTTTAAATTTTTTCAATTTTTTATTATTATTTTTTATTATTTATTGTTGTTTTTTCAATTTTTAGTTAGTAACCTATAATATTGTGTCTAATTTTAAGTGTCATTAAAATCAAATGTTTTTAACTTAATAATTTTAACATTTCTTAATTTAAAACGAAATATCTTCTATTATATTAAGTTAACAAATTTCGAAAAACGACACCGACCCCGTGACCTCGACACCGTCCTTGAAAAATCTATTTTCAATTATTTTCAAATAAATTAAAATACTTTGCATATATGCTGTTAGAAAATCTTACAAACTATTTTTATGTAACATCTTTTTTCAATTTTCACCCGAAAAAGGGTTATTTTGCAATTTTTTAAAATTTTTTTGATTTTTTCAATTTTTTATTATTATTTTTTATTATTTATTGTTGTTTTTTCAATTTTTAGTTAGTAACCTATAATATTGTGTCTAATTTTAAGTGTCATTAAAATCAAATGTTTTTAACTTAATAATTTTAACATTTCTTAATTTAATACGAAACATCTTCTATTATATTAAGTTAACAAATTTCGAAAAACGACACCGACCCAGTGACCTCGACACCGTCCTTCAAAAATCTATTTTCAATTATTTTCAAATAATTCAAAATACTTTGCATATATGCTGTTAGAAAATCTTACAAACTATTTTTATGTAACATCTTTTTTCAATTTTCACCCGAAAAAGGGTTATTTTGCAATTTTTTAAGAATTTTTTGATTTTTTCAATTTTTTATTATTATTTTTTATTATTTATTGTTGTTTTTTCAATTTTTAGTTAGTAACTTATAATATTGTGTCTAATTTTAAGTGTCATTAAAATCAAATGTTTTTAACTTAATAATTTTAACATTTCTTAATTTAAAACGAAACATCTTCTATTATATTAAGTTAACAAATTTCGAAAAACGACACCGACCCCGTGACCTCGACACCGTCCTTCAAAAATCAATTTTCAATTATTTTCAAATAAATCAAAATACTTTGCATATATGCTGTTAGAAAATCTTACAAACTATTTTTATGTAACATCTTTTTTCAATTTTCACCCGAAAAAGGGTTATTTTGCAATTTTAAGCCGAAAAAGGGTCATTTTGCAATTTTTTAAAATTTTTTTGATTTTTTCAATTTTTTATTATTATTTTTTATTATTTATTGTTGTTTTTTCAATTTTTAGTTAGTAACCTATAATATTGTGTCTAATTTTAAGTGTCATTAAAATCAAATGTTTTTAACTTAATAATTTTAACATTTCTTAATTTAAAACGAAACATCTTCTATTATATTAAGTTAACAAATTTCGAAAAACGACACCGACCCCGTGACCTCGACACCGTCCTTCAAAAATCTATTTTCAATTATTTTCAAATAAATCAAAATACTTTGCATATATGCTGTTAGAAAATCTTACAAACTATTTTTATGTAACATCTTTTTTCAATTATCACCCGAAAAAGGGTTATTTTGCAATTTTTTAAGAATTTTTTGATTTTTTCAATTTTTTATTATTATTTTTTATTATTTATTGTTGTTTTTTCAATTTTTAGTTAGTAACCTATAATATTGTGTCTAATTTTAAGTGTCATTAAAATCAAATGTTTTTAACTTAATAATTTTAACATTTCTTAATTTAAAACGAAACATCTTCTATTATATTAAGCTAACAACTTTTGAAAAACCACACCGACCCCGTGACCTCGACACCGTCCTTTAAAAATCTATTTCAATTATTTTCAAATAAATCAAAATACTTTGCATATATGCTGTTAGAAAATCTTACAAACTATTTTTAGTTTTAAGAATTTTTAAATTTTTTCAATTTTTTATTATTATTTTTTATTATTTATTGTTGTTTTTTCAATTTTTAGTTAGTAATTTATAATATTGTGTCTAATTTTAAGTGTCATTAAAATCAAATGTTTTTAACTTAATAATTTTAACATTTCTTAATTTCAAACGAAACATCTTCTATTATATTAAGTTAACAAATTTCGAAAAACGACACCGACCCCGTGACCTCGACACCGTCCTTTAAAAATCTATTTCAATTATTTTCAAATAAATCAAAATACTTTGCATATATGCTGTTAGAAAATCTTACAAACTATTTTTAGTTTTAAGAATTTTTAAATTTTTTCAATTTTTTATTATTATTTTTTATTATTTATTGTTGTTTTTTCAATTTTTAGTTAGTAATTTATAATATTGTGTCTAATTTTAAGTGTCATTAAAATCAAATGTTTTTAACTTAATAATTTTAACATTTCTTAATTTAAAACGAAACATCTTCTATTATATTAAGTTAACAAATTTCGAAAAACGACACCGACCCCGTGACCTCGACACCGTCCTTGAAAAATCTATTTTCAATTATTTTCAAATAAATCAAAATACTTTGCATATATGCTGTTAGAAAATCTTACAAACTATTTTTATGTAACATCTTTTTTCAATTTTAACCCGAAAAAGGGTTATTTTTCAATTTTAACCCGAAAAAGGGTTATTTTGCAATTTTTTAAGAATTTTTAAATTTTTTCAATTTTTTATTATTATTTTTTATTATTTATTGTTGTTTTTTCAATTTTTAGTTAGTAACCTATAATATTGTGTCTAATTTTAAGTGTCATTAAAATCAAATGTTTTTAACTTAATAATTTTAACATTTCTTAATTTAAAACGAAATATCTTCTATTATATTAAGTTAACAAATTTCGAAAAACGACACCGACCCCGTGACCTCGACACCGTCCTTGAAAAATCTATTTTCAATTATTATCAAATAAATTAAAATACTTTGCATATATGCTGTTAGAAAATCTTACAAACTATTTTTATGTAACATCTTTTTTCAATTTTCACCCGAAAAAGGGTTATTTTGCAATTTTTTAAAATTTTTTTGATTTTTTCAATTTTTTATTATTATTTTTTATTATTTATTGTTGTTTTTTCAATTTTTAGTTAGTAACCTATAATATTGTGTCTAATTTTAAGTGTCATTAAAATCAAATGTTTTTAACTTAATAATTTTAACATTTCTTAATTTAATACGAAACATCTTCTATTATATTAAGTTAACAAATTTCGAAAAACGACACCGACCCCGTGACCTCGACACCGTCCTTCAAAAATCTATTTTCAATTATTTTCAAATAATTCAAAATACTTTGCATATATGCTGTTAGAAAATCTTACAAACTATTTTTATGTAACATCTTTTTTCAATTTTCACCCGAAAAAGGGTTATTTTGCAATTTTTTAAGAATTTTTTGATTTTTTCAATTTTTTATTATTATTTTTTATTATTTATTGTTGTTTTTTCAATTTTTAGTTAGTAACTTATAATATTGTGTCTAATTTTAAGTGTCATTAAAATCAAATGTTTTTAACTTAATAATTTTAACATTTCTTAATTTAAAACGAAACATCTTCTATTATATTAAGTTAACAAATTTCGAAAAACGACACCGACCCCGTGACCTCGACACCGTCCTTCAAAAATCAATTTTCAATTATTTTCAAATAAATCAAAATACTTTGCATATATGCTGTTAGAAAATCTTACAAACTATTTTTATGTAACATCTTTTTTCAATTTTAACCCGAAAAAGGGTTATTTTGCAATTTTAATCCGAAAAAGGGTTATTTTGCAATTTTTTAAGAATTTTTTGATTTTTTCAATTTTTTATTATTATTTTTTATTATTTATTGTTGTTTTTTCAATTTTTAGTTAGTAACCTATAATATTGTGTCTAATTTTAAGTGTCATTAAAATCAAATGTTTTTAACTTAATAATTTTAACATTTCTTAATTTAAAACGAAACATCTTCTATTATATTAAGCTAACAACTTTTGAAAAACCACACCGACCCCGTGACCTCGACACCGTCCTTTAAAAATCTATTTCAATTATTTTCAAATAAATCAAAATACTTTGCATATATGCTGTTAGAAAATCTTACAAACTATTTTTAGTTTTAAGAATTTTTAAATTTTTTCAATTTTTTATTATTATTTTTTATTATTTATTGTTGTTTTTTCAATTTTTAGTTAGTAATTTATAATATTGTGTCTAATTTTAAGTGTCATTAAAATCAAATGTTTTTAACTTAATAATTTTAACATTTCTTAATTTCAAACGAAACATCTTCTATTATATTAAGTTAACAAATTTCGAAAAACGACACCGACCCCGTGACCTCGACACCGTCCTTGAAAAATCTATTTTCAATTATTTTCAAATAAAACAAAATATTTTGCATATATGCTGTTAGAAAATCTTACAAACTATTTTTATGTAACATCTTTTTTCAATTTTAACCCGAAAAAGGGTTATTTTTCAATTTTAACCTGAAAAAGGGTTATTTTGCAATTTTTTTAGAATTTTTTGATTTTTTCAATTTTTTATTATTATTTTTTATTATTTATTGTTGTTTTTTAAATTTTTAGTTAGTAACTTATAATATTGTGTCTAATTTTAAGTGTCATTAAAATCAAATGTTTTTAACTTAATAATTTTAACATTTCTTAATTTAAAACGAAACATCTTCTATTATATTAAGTTAACAAATTTCGAAAAACGACACCGACCCCGTGACCTCGACACCGTCCTTGAAAAATCTATTTTCAATTATTTTCAAATAAATCAAAATACTTTGCATATATGCTGTTAGAAAATCTTACAAACTATTTTTATGTAACATCTTTTTTCAATTTTAACCCGAAAAAGGGTCATTTTGCAATTTTTTAAAAATTTTTTGATTTTTTCAATTTTTTATTATTATTTTTTATTATTTATTGTTGTTTTTTCAATTTTTAGTTAGTAACCTATAATATTGTGTCTAATTTTAAGTGTCATTAAAATCAAATGTTTTTAACTTAATAATTTTAACATTTCTTAATTTAAAACGAAACATCTTCTATTATATTAAGTTAACAAATTTTGAAAAACGACACCGACCCCGTGACCTCGACACCGTCCTTGAAAAATCTATTTTCAATTATTTTCAAATAAATCAAAATACTTTGCATATATGCTGTTAGAAAATCTTACAAACTATTTTTATGTAACATCTTTTTTCAATTTTAACCCGGAAGAGGGTTATTTTGCAATTTTAACCCGAAAAAGGGTTATTTTGCAATTTTTTAAGAATTTTTTGATTTTTTCAATTTTTTATTATTATTTTTTATTATTTATTGTTGTTTTTTCAATTTTTAGTTAGTAACTTATAATATTGTGTCTAATTTTAAGTGTCATTAAAATCAAATGTTTTTAACTTAATAATTTTAACATTTCTTAATTTCAAACGAAACATCTTCTATTATATTAAGTTAACAAATTTCGAAAAACGACACCGACCCCGTGACCTCGACACCGTCCTTGAAAAATCTATTTTCAATTATTTTCAAATAAAACAAAATATTTTGCATATATGCTGTTAGAAAATCTTACAAACTATTTTTATGTAACATCTATTTTCAATTTTAACCCGAAAAAGGGTTATTTTGCAATTTTAACCCGAAAAAGGGTTATTTTGCAATTTTTTAAGAATTTTTTGATTTTTTCAATTTTTTATTATTATTTTTTATTATTTATTGTTCTTTTTTCAATTTTTAGTTAGTAACCTATAATATTGTGTCTAATTTTAAGTGTCATTAAAATCAAATGTTTTTAACTTAATAATTTTAACATTTCTTAATTTAAAACGAAACATCTTCTATTATATTTGTTGGGTTTTTACTAAGAGTAAAGACACACTTTAATTGTAAATAGATAAAGTTTATTAATAACAAGAAATTACAAAAGTTTTAAGGTATTGAACCGAGAAAACGCAGTTTCCTTGTTGAAGGTTCAATTCTGACTGACTCGTAGATTCATACCTGAAACAGTTGTCTCTCTAACCGTAATAAAATAGCCCTAAGTACGGATGCTTCAGGTAAACACTATACGTAGTGAAAACTAGTAACAAATTTAACGAAACTTAGAACATACAAATTACCTGTTTTTCAACACTCCCGCTTAATTTTCAAGTTCTAATATATTTAATTTTGATCGCAAATAACAAAATTGCTGTTTTGCCAAAGGTTTAGTTAAAATATCCGCTAATTGATCTTTCGAATTGACATAAATAACTTCAACCTCTTTCTTACTTACAATATCGTGTATAAAATGAAACCGTACATCGATGTGTTTCGAACGCTTGTGATTCTCGGAATTGCTTGACATTTTAATTGCTGCTTGATTATCAACAAAAATTTTAACCGTGTTACAATCGACATTCAGTTCATTCAAAAAACGACGCAACCATACAGCTTCTTTTATCCCTTGAGATAACGCGATGTACTCAGATTCAGCGGTAGATAACGCAACAACAGTCTGACGCTGGCTAGACCACGATATAGGTGCACCATTCAAAACAAACACAAAACCGGTTCTTGATTTCCGAGTGTCAGGACAACCTGCATAATCCGCGTCAGTGAACCCTCGCAATGACAATGGGCTCCCGCTGTTTCCAAATACAATGCCGACATTTACTGTACCTTTTAAATATCTAAGAATTTTCTTAACATATTCCCAATGTTTCTTGTCAAAACAAGTCATAAACTGACTGGCATAATTGACCGCAAATTCAATGTCAGGACGACTAATCCTGGCAGCAAACAATAAAGAACCTATTGCTTCGCGATACGGAATAGTTAAATTGCATTCATTCTCGCTTTGATCATTCTTACTGAGATACATTCCTGGCTCGGCAGGTATGCTTGAGGATTTCGCTTCATTAACATTAAACTTTTCGAGCAATTTACTGACATACCTTGATTGACAAATTTTAATCGTACCTTTTTCACGATTTCGCTCAATTTCCAAACCCACAAAATCACATGCTTCATCGACGGTAATTTGGAAATTGCTTTTCAAAAAATTCAAAACTTGGTCGATCGCACATTTGCTTTTGCTTGTGATCAGACCATCATCAACATACAAAGCTAAGTATACAACACTCTGATTCACTGTGCCTACAAAAACACATTTTTCACTTTGCACATTTTTGAAATTAAACTTTTTCAAAAAATTCACGAACTTTTCGTTCCAACAACGTGGAGATTGTTTCAATCCGTAGAGACTTTTGTGCAATTTGTAAACATAATCGCTTTCGTCTTCATTTATGTAACCTTGGGGCTGCTCCAGGTAAATTTCTTCATGTAGCTCACCATAAAGAAAAGCCGTTTTCACATCAAATTTCATTATTTCGAAATTTCTTTCCGCTGCAATTGCTAACAAGACCCGAATCGATTCATATCGAACAACCGGGGCGAAAGTTTCAAAATAATCAATCCCCTCACGCTGAGAGAAACCTTTTGCTACGAGTCTTGCTTTAAAACGCTTTAAATTTGTCACGGGATTTGTTTTAATTGTAAAGACCCATTTTGACCCAATTGCTCGCTTACCTTTAGGCAACTTGGACAAGGACCACGTTTGATTCTCTTCTAAAGCTTCAATTTCTTCATCCATGGCTTGTTTCCATTTCGATGAATTTTTACACATTTTAGCTTCGTTAAACGTTGTGGGTATATCATCAACACATAAAGCCACGGGGATTCCGTAACGATCGGGAGGACGAATTAAGTCGCGATTTCTTAATTGTCTTCCGTGATGCTCATTTATAATTTCGATATTTTCCTGAAAAGGGTGATGGATTTCCGGGGGGACAGGATCTTCAAGATGCTCAGGATTTGCCATTATATTTTCATTTTCTAAGGGTTCGATATCGTCACTGAAATCAATTTCAATGGAAATATTACCTGCTTCGTTGTTATTATGAAGACTGGGGTTGTTTTCGTTGAAATCAACATCGCTGCTTATATGAATTTTATGAGCTTCACTATCCCACAGACGATAGTTACAAGATTCACCGTCATAACCCACTACAATAACCTTTTTGCTTTTAGGATCCAGTTTATGGCGATTTTCTTTAGGCACATTCAAATACGCACTGGAACCGAAAACTTTTAAATGCGTTACCTGTGGTTTACGACCAAAAAACTGTTCATAAGGAGTTTTTATTGAGTCCATCTTTAAAATTACCCTATTGAGAAGGTAGCATGCCGTATTAATTGCCTCTGGCCAAAGTTTGCTATCGACCTTTTTTCCCAATAACATTGTTCTCGCACTTTCGACAATTGTCCTAATCTCTCTTTCAGCTCGACCATTTTGCTCATGAACATATGGAGACGGTAACTCATGAATGATACCTTTTTCGCTCAGGTAGTTAGAGAATTCAGAGGAAATGTACTCTCTGCCATTATCTGATTTAAGCACTTTTATTTTCGTACCTACTTGCGTTAATACAAAGGCTTCAAAATCCTTGAATTTACTAAAAACTTCAGATTTTTGACGCAGAAAATATATTTTTCTGAAACCAGTGCATTCATCTTTGAACAACACAAAATATCTTGTCCCGCGCGGCGATTCTACATTAACCGGTCCACAAACATCGGTGTGGATTTTTTCTCCGGGTCTATAATGGCTTACAGATTTAGAGACCGGATAAGATTTTCGCGTTTGCTTCCCTATAATACATGCTTCACAGAAAAATTCCATCTTTCCCTTATTTATGCTACATAATTTAAACTCATCACAAGTATTTCTTACTGCACGAATATTTATGTGTCCCATACGCTCATGCCATAATTTTAATTTTCCCAAATTCAAATCAGTTTGCGCAGAATTACATGCATTAGGTTTTATTACTTTAAAACACATGTGAAACAATGTATTGTGCCGTACACCGATAGATGAAATCTTTCCCTCTCTGTCGCGAATCTCACACTTTTCTTTATATGCATGGAAAGAAAAATTCTTGTCGCTAATTATACCAATAGAAAACAAATTTCTTTTTAACCCAGGAACCAGTAAAACATTTTTTAATTCACGTTGCTGTATATTACCGTTTAATTCTTCTTGGATGATAATTGAGCCCTTACCGGTTGCTGCTAAGATTTTGTCATCTGCTACTCTAACAAAATGCTCGTTGGCGGCTTCTTCAAATGATGAAAAATAATCACTTCTGTAGGTCATGTGCATGCTGGCACCCGAATCGGCGATCCACACATCTTTATCTTCATCAGTTGAATTTGAATACAGTGCTGTAATATCACACACATAAGCTTCTGCGTTTTTACACTTTTTATCTTTATTCACTGCACTATCTTTTTCGTTGTTTTTAGGACACTCTTTTGCCCAATGTCCTTTTTCACGACACACCATACACTTTGTCCGTTTTTTCAATTCGTTAATGTCTTTCTTATGTTTAGGCTTTTTCTTTACTGTACTAATGGAACTTTGTTGCACTTGAAGCGCGAGAGCATTCACACTATCATTACTTTCCGAGAGACGCTTATCTTCCTTGATTAATCTGGCTATCAAATTTGATTTTTTTCGATCAGCCTCTGGCGTACAGTCCCATGCTAACCTAAATAGAGAAAAACTGTTTGGCAAGCTGCTTAAAAGTTTAGAAATTATAGCAGTTTCTGTAGGCTTTTCTCCAGCATCGTCTAATTTCTTGCAAATACTTTCAAGCTTTTCAATTTGTATGGCGATGCTTTCACTATCATGCATGCCAAAACCATAAAATTGTTCCCATGCATTTTGCTTTGCATCGACACTAGTGTCGCCATATAAATCTTTCAACTTGTTCCAAATTTCATCGGGTTTGGAACAATTAATCAAATTTGGATGAAGGCTTTTCTCCACTGAGCTTATTAATATCACTGCTGTTTGTGATGATTTCTTCATCCAAGCCTTCCAGTCATTTGCTGCCGTCGTTTTATTTGGTTCATCTTCTGTCCCTTGCACAAAACCCAATAACTCTTTTGATTGCAATACAAAAGTTACACCAAATTTCCATAAAGAATAATTTGATCCATCGAGTTTCGTAATATCCATAATTTCCTTATTACCCATGATGAGAAAATTGCGACACTTTCACCAAATAAAATAACTGTTCACTTGAACACTTGCTTTATGTATTTTCTCTTATAAACTTGCACTTAACAAATTACCGCCGCGCAGTGGAAGCGTACTGGGCCCATAACCTGTTGGGTTTTTACTAAGAGTAAAGACACACTTTAATTGTAAATAGATAAAGTTTATTAATAACAAGAAATTACAAAAGTGTTAAGGTATTGAACCGAGAAAACGCAGTTTCCTTGTTGAAGGTTCAATTCTGACTGACTCGTAGATTCATACCTGAAACAGTTGTCTCTCTAACCGTAATAAAATAGCCCTAAGTACGGATGCTTCAGGTAAACACTATACGTAGTGAAAACTAGTAACAAATTTAACGAAACTTAGAACATACAAATTACCTGTTTTTCAACAATATTAAGTTAACAAATTTTGAAAAACGACACCGACCCCGTGACCTCGACACCGTCCTTGAAAAATCTATTTCAATTATTTTCAAATAAATCAAAATACTTTGCATATATGCTGTTAGAAAATCTTACAAACTATTTTTATGTAACATCTTTTTTCAATTTTAACCCGAAAAAGGGTTATTTTTCAATTATTTAAGAATTTTTTGATTTTTTCAATTTTTTATTATTATTTTTTATTATTTATTGTTGTTTTTTCAATTTTTAGTTAGTAACCTATAATATTGTGTTTAATTTTAAGTGTCATTAAAATCAAATGTTTTTAACTTAATAATTTTAATATTTCTTAATTTAAAACGAAACATCTTCTATTATATTAAGTTAACAAATTTCGAAAAACGACACCGACCCCGTGACCTCGACACCGTCCTTGAAAAATCTATTTTCAATTATTTTCAAATAAATCAAAATACTTTGCATATATGCTGTTAGAAAATCTTACAAACTATTTTTATGTAACATCTTTTTTCAATTTTAACCCGAAAGAGGGTTATTTTTCAATTTTAACCCGAAAAAGGGTTATTTTTCAATTTTAACCCGAAAAAGCGTTATTTTGCAATTTTTTAAGAATTTTTTGATTTTTTCAATTTTTTATTATTATTTTTTATTATTTATTGTTGTTTTTTCAATTTTTAGTTAGTAACTTATAATATTGTGTCAAATTTTAAGTGTCATTAAAATCAAATGTTTTTAACTTAATAATTTTAACATTTCTTAATTTCAAACGAAACATCTTCTATTATATTAAGTTAACAAATTTCGAAAAACGACACCGACCCCGTGACCTCGACACCGTCCTTGAAAAATCTATTTTCAATTATTTTCAAATAAAACAAAATATTTTGCATATATGCTGTTAGAAAATCTTACAAACTATTTTTATGTAACATCTTTTTTCAATTTTAACCCGAAAAAGGGTTATTTTGCAATTTTTTAAGAATTTTTTGATTTTTTCAATTTTTTATTATTATTTTTTATTATTTATTGTTGTTTTTTCAATTTTTAGTTAGTAACCTATAATATTGTGTCTAATTTTAAGTGTCATTAAAATCAAATGTTTTTAACTGAATAATTTTAACATTTCTTAATTTAAAACGAAACATCTTCTATTATATTAAGTTAACAAATTTCGAAAAACGTCACCGACCCCGTGACCTCGACACCGTCCTTGAAAAATCTATTTTCAATTATTTTCAAATAAATCAAAATACTTTGCATATATGCTGTTAGAAAATCTTACAAACTATTTTTATGTAACATGTTTTTTCAATTTTAACCCGAAAAAGGGTTATTTTTCAATTTTAACCTGAAAAAGGATTATTTTGCAATTTTTTAAGAATTTTTTGATTTTTTCAATTTTTTATTATTATTTTTTATTATTTATTGTTGTTTTTTAAATTTTTAGTTAGTAACTTATAATATTGTGTCTAATTTTAAGTGTCATTAAAATCAAATGTTTTTAACTTAATAATTTTAACATTTCTTAATTTCAAACGAAACATCTTCTATTATATTAAGTTAACAAATTTCGAAAAACGACACCGACCCCGTGACCTCGACACCGTCCTTGAAAAATCTATTTTCAATTATTTTCAAATAAAACAAAATATTTTGCATATATGCTGTTAGAAAATCTTACAAACTATTTTTATGTAACATCTTTTTTCAATTTTAACCCGAAAAAGGGTTATTTTGCAATTTTTTAAGAATTTTTTGATTTTTTCAATTTTTTATTATTATTTTTTATTATTTATTGTTGTTTTTTCAATTTTTAGTTAGTAACCTATAATATTGTGTCTAATTTTAAGTGTCATTAAAATCAAATGTTTTTAACTTAATAATTTTAACATTTCTTAATTTAAAACGAAACATCTTCTATTATATTAAGTTAACAAATTTCGAAAAACGACACCGACCCCGTGACCTCGACACCGTCCTTGAAAAATCTATTTTCAATTATTTTCAAATAAATCAAAATACTTTGCATATATGCTGTTAGAAAATCTTACAAACTATTTTTATGTAACATCTTTTTTCAATTTTAACCCGAAAGAGGGTTATTTTTCAATTTTAACCCGAAAAAGGGTTATTTTGCAATTTTAACCCGAAAAAGGGTTATTTTGCAATTTTTTAAGAATTTTTTGATTTTTTCAATTTTTTATTATTATTTTTTATTATTTATTGTTGTTTTTTAAATTTTTAGTTAGTAACTTATAATATTGTGTCTAATTTTAAGTGTCATTAAAATCAAATGTTTTTAACTTAATAATTTTAACATTTCTTAATTTCAAACGAAACATCTTCTATTATATTAAGTTAACAAATTTCGAAAAACGACACCGACCCCGTGACCTCGACACCGTCCTTGAAAAATTTATTTTCAATTATTTTCAAATAAAACAAAATATTTTGCATATATGCTGTTAGAAAATCTTACAAACTATTTTTATGTAACATCTTTTTTCAATTTTAACCCGAAAAAGGGTTATTTTGCAATTTTTTAAGAATTTTTTGATTTTTTCAATTTTTTATTATTATTTTTTATTATTTATTGTTGTTTTTTCAATTTTTAGTTAGTAACCTATAATATTGTGTCTAATTTTAAGTGTCATTAAAATCAAATGTTTTTAACTTAATAATTTTAACATTTCTTAATTTAAAACGAAACATCATCTATTATATTAAGTTAACAAATTTCGAAAAACGACACCGACCCCGTGACCTCGACACCGTCCTTGAAAAATCTATTTTCAATTATTTTCAAATAAATCAAAATACTTTGCATATATGCTGTTAGAAAATCTTACAAACTATTTTTATGTAACATATTTTTTCAATTTTAACCCGAAAAAGGGTTATTTTTCAATTTTAACCTGAAAAAGGGTTATTTTGCAATTTTTTAAGAATTTTTTATTATTATTTTTTATTATTTATTGTTGTTTTTTAAATTTTTAGTTAGTAACTTATAATATTGTGTCTAATTTTAAGTGTCATTAAAATCAAATGTTTTTAACTTAATAAGTTTAACATTTCTTAATTTCAAACGAAACATCTTCTATTATATTAAGTTAACAAATTTCGAAAAACGACACCCACCCCGTGACCTCGACACCGTCCTTGAAAAATCTATTTTCAATTATTTTCAAATAAATCAAAATACTTTGCATATATGCTGTTAGAAAATCTTACAAACTATTTTTATGTAACATCTTTTTTCAATTTTAACCCGAAAGAGGGTTATTTTTCAATTTTAACCCGAAAAAGGGTTATTTTTCAATTTTAACCCGAAAAAGCGTTATTTTGCAATTTTTTAAGAATTTTTTGATTTTTTCAATTTTTCATTATTATTTTTTATTATTTATTGTTGTTTTTTCAATTTTTAGTTAGTAACTTATAATATTGTGTCAAATTTTAAGTGTCATTAAAATCAAATGTTTTTAACTTAATAATTTTAACATTTCTTAATTTCAAACGAAACATCTTCTATTATATTAAGTTAACAAATTTCGAAAAACGACACCGACCCCGTGACCTCGACACCGTCCTTGAAAAATCTATTTTCAATTATTTTCAAATAAAACAAAATATTTTGCATATATGCTGTTAGAAAATCTTACAAACTATTTTTATGTAACATCTTTTTTCAATTTTAACCCGAAAAAGGGTTATTTTGCAATTTTTTAAGAATTTTTTGATTTTTTCAATTTTTTATTATTATTTTTTATTATTTATTGTTGTTTTTTCAATTTTTAGTTAGTAACCTATAATATTGTGTCCAATTTTAAGTGTCATTAAAATCAAATGTTTTTAACTGAATAATTTTAACATTTCTTAATTTAAAACGAAACATCTTCTATTATATTAAGTTAACAAATTTCGAAAAACGTCACCGACCCCGTGACCTCGACACCGTCCTTGAAAAATCTATTTTCAATTATTTTCAAATAAAACAAAATATTTTGCATATATGCTGTTAGAAAATCTTACAAACTATTTTTATGTAACATGTTTTTTCAATTTTAACCCGAAAAAGGGTTATTTTTCAATTTTAACCTGAAAAAGGATTATTTTGCAATTTTTTAAGAATTTTTTGATTTTTTCAATTTTTTATTATTATTTTTTATTATTTATTGTTGTTTTTTCAATTTTTAGTTAGTAACTTATAATATTGTGTCAAATTTTAAGTGTCATTAAAATCAAATGTTTTTAACTTAATAATTTTAACATTTCTTAATTTCAAACGAAACATCTTCTATTATATTAAGTTAACAAATTTCGAAAAACGACACCGACCCCGTGACCTCGACACCGTCCTTGAAAAATCTATTTTCAATTATTTTCAAATAAAACAAAATATTTTGCATATATGCTGTTAGAAAATCTTACAAACTATTTTTATGTAACATCTTTTTTCAATTTTAACCCGAAAAAGGGTTATTTTGCAATTTTTTAAGAATTTTTTGATTTTTTCAATTTTTTATTATTATTTTTTATTATTTATTGTTGTTTTTTCAATTTTTAGTTAGTAACCTATAATATTGTGTCTAATTTTAAGTGTCATTAAAATCAAATGTTTTTAACTGAATAATTTTAACATTTCTTAATTTAAAACGAAACATCTTCTATTATATTAAGTTAACAAATTTCGAAAAACGTCACCGACCCCGTGACCTCGACACCGTCCTTGAAAAATCTATTTTCAATTATTTTCAAATAAATCAAAATACTTTGCATATATGCTGTTAGAAAATCTTACAAACTATTTTTATGTAACATGTTTTTTCAATTTTAACCCGAAAAAGGGTTATTTTTCAATTTTAACCTGAAATAGGATTATTTTGCAATTTTTTAAGAATTTTTTGATTTTTTCAATTTTTTATTATTATTTTTTATTATTTATTGTTGTTTTTTAAATTTTTAGTTAGTAACTTATAATATTGTGTCTAATTTTAAGTGTCATTAAAATCAAATGTTTTTAACTTAATAATTTTAACATTTCTTAATTTCAAACGAAACATCTTCTATTATATTAAGTTAACAAATTTCGAAAAACGACACCGACCCCGTGACCTCGACACCGTCCTTGAAAAATTTATTTTCAATTATTTTCAAATAAAACAAAATATTTTGCATATATGCTGTTAGAAAATCTTACAAACTATTTTTATGTAACATCTTTTTTCAATTTTAACCCGAAAAAGGGTTATTTTGCAATTTTTTAAGAATTTTTTGATTTTTTCAATTTTTTATTATTATTTTTTATTATTTATTGTTGTTTTTTCAATTTTTAGTTAGTAACCTATAATATTGTGTCTAATTTTAAGTGTCATTAAAATCAAATGTTTTTAACTTAATAATTTTAACATTTCTTAATTTAAAACGAAACATCATCTATTATATTAAGTTAACAAATTTCGAAAAACGACAATGACCCCGTGACCTCGACACCGTCCTTGAAAAATCTATTTTCAATTATTTTCAAATAAATCAAAATACTTTGCATATATGCTGTTAGAAAATCTTACAAACTATTTTTATGTAACATATTTTTTCAATTTTAACCCGAAAAAGGGTTATTTTTCAATTTTAACCTGAAAAAGGGTTATTTTGCAATTTTTTAAGAATTTTTTATTATTATTTTTTATTATTTATTGTTGTTTTTTAAATTTTTAGTTAGTAACTTATAATATTGTGTCTAATTTTAAGTGTCATTAAAATCAAATGTTTTTAACTTAATAATTTTAACATTTCTTAATTTCAAACGAAACATCTTCTATTATATTAAGTTAACAAATTTCGAAAAACGACACCGACCCCGTGACCTCGACACCGTCCTTGAAAAATCTATTTTCAATTATTTTCAAATAAATCAAAATACTTTGCATATATGCTGTTAGAAAATCTTACAAACTATTTTTATGTAACATCTTTTTTCAATTTTAACCCGAAAGAGGGTTATTTTTCAATTTTAACCCGAAAAAGGGTTATTTTTCAATTTTAACCCGAAAAAGCGTTATTTTGCAATTTTTTAAGAATTTTTTGATTTTTTCAATTTTTTATTATTATTTTTTATTATTTATTGTTGTTTTTTCAATTTTTAGTTAGTAACTTATAATATTGTGTCAAATTTTAAGTGTCATTAAAATCAAATGTTTTTAACTGAATAATTTTAACATTTCTTAATTTAAAACGAAACATCTTCTATTATATTAAGTTAACAAATTTCGAAAAACGTCACCGACCCCGTGACCTCGACACCGTCCTTGAAAAATCTATTTTCAATTATTTTCAAATAAATCAAAATACTTTGCATATATGCTGTTAGAAAATCTTACAAACTATTTTTATGTAACATGTTTTTTCAATTTTAACCCGAAAAAGGGTTATTTTTCAATTTTAACCTGAAAAAGGATTATTTTGCAATTTTTTAAGAATTTTTTGATTTTTTCAATTTTTTATTATTATTTTTTATTATTTATTGTTGTTTTTTAAATTTTTAGTTAGTAACTTATAATATTGTGTCTAATTTTAAGTGTCATTAAAATCAAATGTTTTTAACTTAATAATTTTAACATTTCTTAATTTCAAACGAAACATCTTCTATTATATTAAGTTAACAAATTTCGAAAAACGACACCGACCCCGTGACCTCGACACCGTCCTTGAAAAATCTATTTTCAATTATTTTCAAATAAAACAAAATATTTTGCATATATGCTGTTAGAAAATCTTACAAACTATTTTTATGTAACATCTTTTTTCAATTTTAACCCGAAAAAGGGTTATTTTGCAATTTTTTAAGAATTTTTTGATTTTTTCAATTTTTTATTATTATTTTTTATTATTTATTGTTGTTTTTTCAATTTTTAGTTAGTAACCTATAATATTGTGTCTAATTTTAAGTGTCATTAAAATCAAATGTTTTTAACTTAATAATTTTAACATTTCTTAATTTAAAACGAAACATCTTCTATTATATTAAGTTAACAAATTTCGAAAAACGACACCGACCCCGTGACCTCGACACCGTCCTTGAAAAATCTATTTTCAATTATTTTCAAATAAATCAAAATACTTTGCATATATGCTGTTAGAAAATCTTACAAACTATTTTTATGTAACATCTTTTTTCAATTTTAACACGAAAAAGGGTTATTTTTCAATTTTAACCTGAAAAAGGGTTATTTTGCAATTTTTTAAGAATTTTTTGATTTTTTCAATTTTTTATTATTATTTTTTATTATTTATTGTTGTTTTTTAAATTTTTAGTTAGTAACTTATAATATTGTGTCTAATTTTAAGTGTCATTAAAATCAAATGTTTTTAACTTAATAATTTTAACATTTCTTAATTTCAAACGAAACATCTTCTATTATATTAAGTTAACAAATTTCGAAAAACGACACCGACCCCGTGACCTCGACACCGTCCTTGAAAAATCTATTTTCAATTATTTTCAAATAAATCAAAATACTTTGCATATATGCTGTTAGAAAATCTTACAAACTATTTTTATGTAACATCTTTTTTCAATTTTAACCCGAAAGAGGGTTATTTTTCAATTTTAACCCGAAAAAGGGTTATTTTGCAATTTTAACCCGAAAAAGCGTTATTTTGCAATTTTTTAAGAATTTTTTGATTTTTTCAATTTTTTATTATTATTTTTTATTATTTATTGTTGTTTTTTCAATTTTTAGTTAGTAACTTATAATATTGTGTCAAATTTTAAGTGTCATTAAAATCAAATGTTTTTAACTTAATAATTTTAACATTTCTTAATTTCAAACGAAACATCTTCTATTATATTAAGTTAACAAATTTCGAAAAACGACACCGACCCCGTGACCTCGACACCGTCCTTGAAAAATCTATTTTCAATTATTTTCAAATAAATCAAAATACTTTGCATATATGCTGTTAGAAAATCTTACAAACTATTTTTATGTAACATCTTTTTTCAATTTTAACCCGAAAGAGGGTTATTTTTCAATTTTAACCCGAAAAAGGGTTATTTTGCAATTTTAACCCGAAAAAGGGTTATTTTGTAATTTTTTAAGAATTTTTTTATTTTTTCAATTTTTTATTATTATTTTTTATTATTTATTTTTTTTTTTAAATTTTTAGTTAGTAACTTATAATATTGTGTCTAATTTTAAGTGTCATTAAAATCAAATGTTTTTAACTTAATAATTTTAACATTTCTTAATTTCAAACGAAACATCTTCTATTATATTAAGTTAACAAATTTCGAAAAACGACACCGACCCCGTGACCTCGACACCGTCCTTGAAAAATCTATTTTCAATTATTTTCAAATAAATCAAAATACTTTGCATATATGCTGTTAGAAAATCTTACAAACTATTTTTATGTAACATCTTTTTTCAATTTTAACCCGAAAAAAGGTTATTTTTCAATTTTAACCTGAAAAAGGGTTATTTTGCAATTTTTTAAAATTTTTTTGATTTTTTCAATTTTTTATTATTATTTTTTATTATTTATTGTTGTTTTTTAAATTTTTAGTTAGTAACTTATAATATTGTGTCTAATTTTAAGTGTCATTAAAATCAAATGTTTTTAACTTAATAATTTTAACATTTCTTAATTTCAAACGAAACATCTTCTATTATATTAAGTTAACAAATTTCGAAAAACGACACCGACCCCGTGACCTCGACACCGTCCTTGAAAAATCTATTTTCAATTATTTTCAAATAAATCAAAATACTTTGCATATATGCTGTTAGAAAATCTTACAAACTATTTTTATGTAACATCTTTTTTCAATTTTAACCCGAAAAAGGGTTATTTTTCAATTTTAACCTGAAAAAGGGTTATTTTGCAATTTTTTAAGAATTTTTTGATTTTTTCAATTTTTTATTATTATTTTTTATTATTTATTGTTGTTTTTTAAATTTTTAGTTAGTAACTTATAATATTGTGTCTAATTTTAAGTGTCATTAAAATCAAATGTTTTTAACTTAATAATTTTAACATTTCTTAATTTCAAACGAAACATCTTCTATTATATTAAGTTAACAAATTTCGAAAAACGACACCGACCCCGTGACCTCGACACCGTCCTTGAAAAATCTATTTTCAATTATTTTCAAATAAAACAAAATATTTTGCATATATGCTGTTAGAAAATCTTACAAACTATTTTTATGTAACATCTTTTTTCAATTTTAACCCGAAAAAGGGTTATTTTGCAATTTTTTAAGAATTTTTTGATTTTTTCAATTTTTTATTATTATTTTTTATTATTTATTGTTGTTTTTTCAATTTTTAGTTAGTAACCTATAATATTGTGTCTAATTTTAAGTGTCATTAAAATCAAATGTTTTTAACTTAATAATTTTAACATTTCTTAATTTAAAACGAAACATCTTCTATTATATTAAGTTAACAAATTTCGAAAAACGACACCGACCCCGTGACCTCGACACCGTCCTTGAAAAATCTATTTTCAATTATTTTCAAATAAATCAAAATACTTTGCATATATGCTGTTAGAAAATCTTACAAACTATTTTTATGTAACATCTTTTTTCAATTTTAACCCGAAAGAGGGTTATTTTTCAATTTTAACCCGAAAAAGGGTTATTTTGCAATTTTAACCCGAAAAAGGGTTATTTTGTAATTTTTTAAGAATTTTTTGATTTTTTCAATTTTTTATTATTATTTTTTATTATTTATTGTTGTTTTTTCAATTTTTAGTTAGTAACTTATAATATTGTGTCTAATTTTAAGTGTCATTAAAATCAAATGTTTTTAACTTAATAATTTTAACATTTCTTAATTTCAAACGAAACATCTTCTATTATATTAAGTTAACAAATTTCGAAAAACGACACCGACCCCGTGACCTCGACACCGTCCTTGAAAAATCTATTTTCAATTATTTTCAAATAAAACAAAATATTTTGCATATATGCTGTTAGAAAATCTTACAAACTATTTTTATGTAACATCTTTTTTCAATTTTAACCCGAAAAAGGGTTATTTGCAATTTTTTAAGAATTTTTTGATTTTTTCAATTTTTTATTATTATTTTTTATTATTTATTGTTGTTTTTTCAATTTTTAGTTAGTAACCTATAATATTGTGTCTAATTTTAAGTGTCATTAAAATCAAATGTTTTTAACTAAATAATTTTAACATTTCTTAATTTAAAACGAAACATCTTCTATTATATTAAGTTAACAAATTTCGAAAAACGACACCGACCCCGTGACCTCGACACCGTCCTTGAAAAATCTATTTTCAATTATTTTCAAATAAATCAAAATACTTTGCATATATGCTGTTAGAAAATCTTACAAACTATTTTTATGTAACATCTTTTTTCAATTTTAACCCGAAAAAGGGTTATTTTGCAATTTTTTAAGAATTTTTTGATTTTTTAAATTTTTCATTATTATTTTTTATTATTTATTGTTGTTTTTTCAATTTTTAGTTAGTAACCTATAATATTGTGTCTAATTTTAAGTGTCATTAAAATCAAATGTTTTTAACTTAATAATTTTAAAATTTCTTAATTTAAAACGAAACATCTTCTATTATATTAAGTTAACAAATTTCGAAAAACGACACCGACCCCGTGACCTCGACACCGTCCTTC